AGGGTGCCGCGACGTCGTGCGCCGGCAGGATGGGATTTAATCTGTGTCCCGTTTCACGCTCAGCCAAGTGGAACCTTTTTGCCTCACTTTGCGGCATGACTCGCTTTTGCGCTGGTCGTCGCGTAGATTAACGCGAAATTATATATAAAGAATGTGTGCGGACGGCGTGTGCACGGGTCGCGTCGTGTCGGTGCGGCGCTGTGCTACGGACGATTCGCTCTCCTCGCGCGAGACGAGAGCGAAACGGGGGAGAGGAAGAGATAGCAGGTTGGTGGTGACTGCCAGAGAGGGGAGAGAGAGAGAGAGCCTTCTACTTTGTGCGTTCCTAGAGGCAGAGGGGTGAGGAGGGGAGGGGTTCGGGGGAGTTTCTCTCTTTCGCCGTGCATGTACGTACGCGTTCTCCGAGTCACACCCTCTTTGTAATGAATTAAAACTGGTGAAAAACCAGCGGCGGGTTTGCGTCGTCCCACAAAGCGGAGACGACGACGACGACGACGGCGCGGGGTGTTCTCGTGGCGACGCCGGGATTTCGGATACCCGTTCCGACCGTTTATTTTTGCGACGCACGAGTTTCAAAGGAAAAACAATGGTTCTGCGAGGGGATTCTGATTTTCGCTTGATTTCCTGGGTCATGATTTTCAGTACACGCGGATAATAAATACCTACACAGTATAGTATAGTATTTCTAAGGTCGCATCGAAAAGAAAACACCGTCACATCGTAGCTTCTTTCCTGCTGCTGGGAAATATACAGAGAGAATTGATCCGTTGATGGTGCGCGCGGTGTTCGTGATTAAATAATTCGTCATGCGCGAGGCGAAGGCAGTTTAACGCGTTTTACTGATCACGTAACAGCGGTGGCTTATACCAACATCTTGTCGGTATAAAGTAAAACGTGTTCCTCGCCGAGAGATAATCTCCGACCGAATGAAAGAAGTACTATGCGTGTAACGCAAGGTTGGATAGTCGTCGACAGACACGAATCTTCAATCCGGAGCGTCGTTATCTGTAGAAAGATGGGTCTGCGATCCGCGCTCGGCAGCAGATCTTTCTCACGGCGCGTTGCACGACGCGTCGAAAAAGCGCTGCGTGTCGTTCGCGAGTGTACATTTACATACGTGGCCGTTCGAGCGGCCATCGGCGTATGAATATTCATCGAGTGTCCGCAAGGTGGAGCGGAATTTTCGAAGGAAGGATAGCCATCCGATTTTAATCGGATCAAGGAAAATGTCTTAACGTTATATATCGTTACGTTATATCGTCTCCTTTACGCGGCATGCATAATCGAGCGGACTTTACGTGGCTTTCGTCCGACGCGTCGTGGCTCTCGACGCTGTCGCCAAAGTGCCTTGTAAAAATGCCCGCGCTACCCGCCAATATATATATATATATATATATATATATATATATATATATATATATATATAGTATATATATATATATATATATATATATATATATATATATATATATAAATATATAGTATATATATATATATATATATATATATATATATATATATATATATATATACGATATATATATATATATATATATATATATATATATATATATATATATATATATTATGCGTACTAAATTATTCACTATCGTGTAATCGAATACGTAGTGACAGGGTTTATCAATATTTAAATTTATTATATATAATACATGCTATATGCTATATGCTATGTACTATTTACGCTTTTATCGCAAAAATGTTGCATTCCTGTTGGAAAGTATTTTGAACGTGCTTTCGATCGTTTATCTCGTTTGCCTTGTTCCTTATTAAATTGAATATTAAACGTTCGCCAGCTTGTTTCACAGTATATTTATCTCCGAATGTCCTTTGGCCTCGAAATTCTTCGTTAATTCGTCCGTTTAGCAAGACGCAAGAACCGCGAACGAGTACCTTTTCGTCAAAGTGGCCCTTTCCTCCCCCCCCCCTCTCCGCCTTCGCGTTGATTCTCCGAGAGCGAAGGAGACGATAAAATTACGGATTGTCCAGCGGTGACACGTATAATATAATATTGCAAAGTGGCAGAAAAGGCATTCGCGGGAAGGAGGAAGAGTGTGACGGATAGTCGCAGAGGCGGAAGCACACGCTCACTTTGAGCGTGAAATAAGCACGAAACGCGTGGAATTTCGGCCCTCTGGCCGTGACGCCGCGCCGCGCCGCGCCGCG